CCCAAATCTTCAGTCGCTCCACGCATCATCCCGCGACATGAAAGACGGACATTCAGGACGGGATGCTTGCTGAGGGGACAGGTTTCACACAAGGACACACCATTTGTAGCGGAGAACCAAGTATATTTGCTGCCGGCAAGCGTTATCACTCACCGGCAAGTTATTCCAAAAGGAGACCACAGACTCGCGGCCTGACGTGAAATCCACTACCAGGTTCCCATTCTTTGACGACACCGATCGACGGTTGCATTTAACGGCTTCCACTAAAAAACACGCCTTGTTCTGTGAAGAGACTGATCCCTGCTCTCTCATGCAAATCAATCCTTATTCACCAAAAGGAATTGATCTGCACAGCATGTGGTTATTAGCACGATCCACAACTGCTACGCTGCTGTATGCACTTTGTCGAGGAACGGATGGCTCGCAGAACCCAAAATAACTCATCCCTCGCCGTCCAGATATCACAACATCCATCAAAAACTGGCAACGAGATGCACTTTGCCAAAACAATCTGGCCTGGGCTCAACTGCCATGCCAGTGGGCTGATAGGACGACACAGTCCCAGTTGAACATACTAGAAAATCTAGAGAGCTGGATCGTGCTATTCTAGGGACTTCTCGCACACCAGCATGACACCACCTTCCCCTTCTTGTCAAGGCCAAATCTGTGACTCATTTACCCTATTTTCTAGCACAAACAGTTCTTTTTTTGTTTTTGTTTTTTCCCCCMCCMCCCCGCCGTTTTCATCACATTGTAGGGTACCTGGTCGTTTCGGACGCCGCGATGAGATTTATCAATGGTGGGCGCTGTGTGGGCCCAGCCCCCAAAGTTTCAGGATTAGGATATTTTATTATTTTCCCATCTTGCGACCAAAGGGAAAGCTAGTGGTGGTTTCACAAAACAGGTCCTTAGTCGTTTCGGAGGAGGCCGCAATGAAACAACGACCGTCTGCAGTTTGCCTGGGTTCACACGACGGTTCTGGGGAGCTGTTACGGAGACACCTATGTGAGTGGTTTATACTAAAACTTTATACAAAAGGTATCGTCCCTCGTTTGTTTCCATCCGACAAGCTAAGCGATGGCCAACCGACAAGCTAAGCGATGACCAACTTCGGCAAACTTTCCAGAGCCGGAGCACGGCTCCGACTGGGGTACTCTCCTGTAAGCCCAAGCATTACTACAGATCAGTTTGCATTTGCTCCTTCCTTTTCTCTACAAACAAGACAGCAACCAGTGAACGGGAAGCAATGGGCCGAAAAGACCTGGTGTGCAAATACTGAGAGGCAGCCATGGTCCACATGCTGGATCATATTCATTGAGCTGCACAATTGTCCCCGTTTCTGTACGAATTTTTGTCGTGTTAGCAAGCATGACAAAGATTGGCCGCTTTGGAGTCTGACTGAAAAGCACACATCTCCAGCCACTCGCCAATGTCCCATGTCATTTTCTATCCCAAATTTCCTCCAGAATCGCCACATTGCTGAAGACTTCATATGCGAACCTTAGAGTGACACCAATTAGCATATTGCGACTGCCACCGCGGAACCTTAATCTACACGTTCCAACAATCTAAAGGACAAAATCTCTGCCCATTCAGACTTTACTTCTCTGCGACACTGCACTTCCACGTTCTCCTTTTCGCACCACCTCTCCACTGCATAAGCGCGCGGCTTTTATATTCCCGGAGAGATCTATCGTGGGCTAAAGATGATGCGAGTATATGCTTTCACGGACTCTGCAGCATCGACTCCACCAGGTGCCAAATCCCCATTGATCCCAGTAGATAATTACCAAGGCCTTTGTCCACCTGCTATAGAAATTACATTACCTGCCCATTACCTGCCCAGCACAAATTCCAACTCCTTAGAACCCCGGTAGTGCCGGTTCCGCACTTTGCCGGAAGCCCTGGGGTTTGTAACTACTTTTTGGGGGGAGGCGGCCGCAAATTCGCATTCACCAAGCCCCGGTAGTGCCGAGCGGGGCCACGTAACAAACTTTTTTTGGGGACGCAGCCAAACAGCTAGTTCGGTTGACATCGATTATATATGATAGAATATGCTGTAATCATAAAAAATACTGGCAATGAATATCTAAATTATACCTATATTATAGCTATTCATAGCTATAATTTAGATATTCATTGCCAGTATTTTTTATGATTACAACATATTCAGATTATTATTATATCTTATTATTCAATATTTATCGTATATTATACACTCCAGTGACTCCACCATCATACTTCAAATGGTGGGAGGGGCACATCCTACCGGAGCCTCACATTTTGAACAGACGGAAAGACTGACTGCCACTCAAAGAACCGGAACACGGGCATCAGACGGGGACACGACGAGGATCACCAAAACCGTCTAAGCTATTCGCGTCAGGGACGGTGTCATTTTCATTTCATAGACCAGGAGGAGGATAAGCATACGGGACGCCCACCCCTCACCAAACATGATGTATGGGCTCTACCCTGTCCCCATAACTTAGCTGCGCAACCAATCCAGGCACCGAAGCATGCTGAGCGCATCGACAAGTTGCGCAACCAGTCCAGATCTCAACGGAATCCAGGACGTATCTATTCAGAACCAGTACCTCCATCTGTTTGGTATCCGCTGCACTACCGAGTCCGCAACACTAATTGCCTCCAGTACCAGGCTCTTTGCATACCATCCTTGTGAAGGTTTGTTCATCTACTCTATCATCCCAAGCATCGTGCACACTGCGGCACAGCAAGGCTATGCTAAGATATCTCCAAAAGCTGTGCGACTGCTCACCTGTAAATGGTATCTACGATGCAAACATCCTGAATCAGCACTACCATCTTCTGTGACATCACAGGCAGTGCGACTACTCGATCGCGTTCGAGTAATGGGCTCTTTCTTCAATACCCTTGTGAAGTTTCCTCTACTCGTTGATTAACATTTATGAGAACAGACATGCACTTACACTGAACAGGGGGAAGAGGGAAGAAAGCAGGATCACAATACATGCTGCACAAGCTGTGCCGTCTCCAGAATACCACACAAACAGTCACAAACAGCCGTACACACTCTAACATGGCCATACATGCTGGCATATCAGACATTTAAGTGCAAACAGAATTAAGGCGTAGTCACACTAGAACTATCTTAACTGTATCTGACCGCATGAAAGGTCAGGCCTGGATGCATCTGGCCGCATTCTGCTCCGAAATAAATAAAAGAGTCCTGGTGTGAGCATTGCCCTTAGACGGTTAAGGACATACCCAAACACCGGTGAGCAAGCAATGTTTGATACCGCAATTTTGCAATATTGCTGTGCCGTCACATCCAACAGGTTTTAGCGATGAGACAACACTGCGACTGCGTGACATTTGCTCCATCTGTTATCAATGAGGTCACACAGCGGACAGCAGATGGCAAGCTTTTTTTTTTTCCCTTCTCTGCTTTCGGTGCCTTTTTCTTTAATGAAAAAGGAAGTGTTGCACACCCCTACGGTCGGTAACCCTTGACTGGTCTGCCGCCGACCAGCCGAACGGTCAGCTGGTCAGCACCTGCGGGCGGGGGTCGTCGGTACCCCGGGCAACCAAAAAAAAAAAAAAAAAAAGGGGTCCACAGAGAGAGAGAGAGAGAGAGAGAGAGAGAACGAATAGCCCTTTAACATTAATAAGAACCCCCCTGCGGATAATCCTAGCGGCCCCTGCAAATAATTTGCAAGGGCCTCCTCTCCGCGAAAGTGGCACTTCTCGAACCCATTGCAGGGCAGCAGCACGCCAACTATATATGGTTTAAATTCACGTTAAGGTCCGTGTTTCAGTAGTTATGTGAGCACGGAGCACGTGATTATCTGGGCAGTAGCTAGCCAACTCACCCCGTGATTTTCAGGGCTTCCCCCCACTACTCACCAAATGTGCAAAACTCGAATGAATCTTCTGCTAGAACATGGAATCATATGTTTTGTCTTTTGTGCCAGTGGTGATGAGTGGAGCCAGGCCCTTAGGGCCACTGCTCGTAGGAAAAGGAAAACAAAAGAAAGAAAGAGAGAGCTACGGCAGTAAGTAGCTGAGGCCCATAACTGCTGGGACACAGACCTGAATTCGGATCCAGAAGATATATTGCTGGCCTGCTCCTCGCTCATTCGAAATTCACCGAGTGTCTCCGCTGAGATATAAGAGCCCTGCAGATTCTCTGCTGGGGGCCCTTCAGGATAAAAGCTATACACGCAATGCGGAATACAGCTCTCTAATTTTTTTTTCTTCTCTGCCCTTAAAACCTGTAGAAGCGAGGAACACGTCTGGCTGCCTCAGCCACCCCCATATACAACCCCTCAACACCTCCAAATCGCCTCCCAACACCCTCACCCCCCCCTCCAATACTCTTATTATAACCCCCCTATACCCACCGAGACCCCCCCCTACCTCCCCGCATCCCCAAAAGTTTCTCCGCGGATTTGGGCTGTACTCAGCAAGCGCAGTGCAGTCCCTAACTCAGATTTGAAAAAAAATCAGTCGATGGCTGTTTTCTGACTGGTCGGCAGACTGCCGACCGGTAGGCCCTACTGGTCGGCTGCAAAACGGTCGACGGTCTGGGTCGGGGTCGGGGTCGGCGGTCGGCAGGCATGCAACATTGGAAAAAAGTTAAAAAAAAAGAAATACCACTTTGTGAGCGCCTCGGGAGGTCCTTGCAGTTTGCACCCCTCCGTGGCTTGGAAGGCCGCTAACAAGTGGTACCGTCTTAGACATTTTGCTGGCTGTAAAGGGGTCCGCAGATTTCGCAATATCAGCCGCTTGTGCGAGTACCCCCTAAGTCTATCCTTCAGGACGTCCTTCAAAACGTCTCCTGATATTCCCCCCTCGGAAGCTCAAGGGGTAATGTTTTACAGGGAGCTCTTGATATTCCCCCCCCGGGAAGGTAAGCACAAAGCATTATTGAATGTGGTCTTAAGAACAGGAAATAAAAACAGCTAGACTTCACGACAAACAGGAAAACAAAAAAAAACATTATAAACATCAATCCTCTATTCCTAAGCTGCAAGTGATTCAACATCAAGATAGGTACGATGACGCAGTTGCATGCACGGCAAGAAGAGAAACAGAACTAAGAAGACGGCCAGTCATGCAAGTTCACACCACACTAGACCACACAGTAAATATGAAACAGAACTAAGAAGATGGGTCAGTCAGGAGGAGCAGCAGAGAAGTGGAGGTCCGAAACACATTTTCCCCACCTTACATTCATTTGAAGACGTCACAGAACAGGAAAAAAGATGGTGGTCATAATATCACACAAATGTGGACAGGAAGAACTCGAAGAAGAAAAAAAAAAAAAAGCCTACCAGAATTCCTGTCTAATACATCTCTTATGCAACAATAAAAACCACCGCAGTAATTTTCGCAAGGGCACTTTAAGAAAAAAATAAAAAATAAAAAAACACTCTTCAGCACGGCCTTTCCCATGACGTTTCCCTTGTCACGATATTGCCATAGTATACCTCTTGAGAAGCCCCGTCCCAATAGGCCTGAGCAAATGTATACACAAAAAAAGCATTTCATACAAAATGTTTCCCCAGGCCACAAAGAACAGCATGCGCTTCCCCCTCTCCGCTCCCCACCCAACACAGCTTCACACACACACACACACACACACACACACACACACACACACACACACACACACACACACACACACACACACACACACACACACACACACAC